GCAAAATGGGTGCTAATGGGAGCCTGCCACTCGGAAGTCATTCTAGATGTGAGTTTGGAAAAAAGTGGGTGGCTCCATTCCCTTCTGCAAAGTGAGGCAGAGAATTAACTCTTCATTGTCAAAGAACCAAAGGAAGAGTCCAACACGACCCAGGAACGCTGGGGTTTTGCCGTACTCTGTCCCTGCCGTACCCCACCCCATCCTATATTCTCATCTTGACTAATCATCAACTTTCTCTTCAAGACCTCTCAAAGTTGTATGAGCTAGTCTGAATCCTGACAAATTAAAGCTTTCTTTTACCGCGTTGGAGGAAGTGCCATTTCACATGAAGAAAAGTGTGAAGTGTTTCTCTGAATCTACTCCCCTGGTCTCAGAAAGTGGCCCTTTGTCCACTGCAGAGCATCAGCAGCTCTGGAGCCCCCTGTAATTTGGGATCATATCTCTGTCCCAGGACAGAGACCAGAGTGACCTCCTTCCGCTTGGGGCAGTGGGGAACGGCTTGCCGCGCCGCCCTGACCTCGGACCCAGGCCCAGCCCTGGGTCACTGACTGCTCCTGCGACCGCCCGGCTCTCCCCCACGTTTATTCCCCCCCCCTTGCTATTGGGACGCTGGGCCCCTCCCTAAAGCCACCAGCAGTTGTGATGGACCAAGTGGCAGTCCTCTGCCTGGCATTAAGGCTCCCTCCAGGCTCTCTTGCTGTCCCTTTGGTCAGACCAGTCTTCCATGCTTCCTCGCTTCTGCCCCCAGGCATCTGCCCCTCTTTTTCAGAGTTCTTCCTGCTCCCACTGATTTTCTACCCAGTTCCAAGCCTGACTCAGGTAGAGCTTCACTGTGGGGTCCAAGGACAGGCATTATGCATGTTAAAGACACAGACTACTAGGGCCACCCCAGACCTTTGGTCACAGAACTGTGTTTTCCCAGACCATTGAGTGGTTTGCATGTGCCTTACAATGGGAGAAGAAACTTTGAAATGAAATGGTCTCCAAGTGTGGGCCTGAGGCCATCAACAGCAGCAGAATCACCATGCCAGAAATGCAGATTCCTGGTCATATCCTAAAGATAAAGGAATTGGAACTTCTGGGGGTGAGACCCAGGAATCTTCATGTTTGACACCCTGATGTGATTCTCTTGTATTTTCTTTATAAATTATATGTTGTATAATTAAAAAAATCACAAATCACTATAATTTTAATAGCAAGTAAATTCTAATAAATTATTTCAGTAATAATTTTAATTGTATTAATTATAAATTCGTCTACATTGTTACAGACATTAGATATCAAATATAAATATGTATGTTAAGGGCGCCTGGGTGGCTCAGTTGGTTAAGCATCTGCCTTCGGCTCGGGTCATGATCCCAGCATCCTGGGTTCAAGTCTCACATCAGGCTCCTTGCTCAGCAGGGAGTAGGCTCAGCCTACTGTTCCCCCAGCTTGTGCTCTCTCTCTCTCTGACAAATAAATAAATAAAATATTTTAAAAAAATATGTATGTTATTTGTTACTGTATGTGATGAGTTTTACTTGATACATGAAGTACATTGTAATAAATCAGAACATCATGGAGAAGGCTGACATCTCATTTAGCCACCATACCCTGTGGCTGTCCTATTCCCAGAACAACTTCATTGTATTTACACACACGTGTATATTCCGAGAGAAATCACGTATTATACACTTTATACATATGGTACCTTTTGTATCATTCTGCAACTTTCTTTTTTACACTCAGCAATATGTTTTGAGGAGCTTTCTGTGTTAGAAAGCAGAGGGCCACCATGTACAAGGACCACCAACTATTCCCTTGTATACATTTCTTAAGCCATTAGTGGACAGTTGGGTTATTTATGGTTTTTCTACAATGCTATAGTGAACATTCTTGAACATACCTCCTGCACCAGAGTGTGTGGGTTTCTTTAGGGCAGAAATAGCAAAGGGCTGGAAAATGGAATTGTTGGTCATGGAGGGATGAGCATTTTAAGCGTTTAAATGCTATTGCCAAAATGGCTATAGCCGTTCAGCGCTTTACACCTTCAAGTTTAATCTCTTTGTTTTGGGTTGATTTCACATGAAGTCTGGAATTGGACATTATGTTATAACATCAGAACAGATGATGCTCCAAAGGAGCTTGAATTCACCTCCTATGACCAGTACAGCTGACGTGCACTGAATCGTCTCAGCACTCTTCATGGGCTCACTTGTTTCTTCCTCATGTCCCTGATCCTTTGAGGTGGATACTCCCAGAGTACCAATGCCAGACTGAGGCCCTGACCAAGCCTGGAAGGTAATGAAGTAGCCCATGTAAGATTCCAAGTTGGTATCTACTGCACTCCCTCATTGGCTTTTCAGATTCTGGGTAAGCAAGGGACCGGCAGGATCTAAATTCACATACTTGGACTGAGACTTCTTCAAAGACATATTCATAGTTGACTTATCTCAGGAGATCATTAGGAAAATACCCACATAGAAAAACCAATAGGATCTGCAATGTAGGAGATGCTATAGTGTGTAAAATTATCTATCCAGAGCTTCATCTGGATGCCAGTGAAAGGCTCCCAGGAGTTGCTGCAGCAGAGACAGAAATTTGGGGGGAAGTCACCAAAAGCACTATTAAAAACAAAAGAAACATAAGCAAACTTTGTTTTTGTCCATGGGTGAGGATGTGCCCAGGCCTCAGCATTTCAGTCTGTACCTGCACTGTTTCCCTGACCTGGACGGAACAAGAAGCCACTGACCTCATGCACCTTCTGAGTGGAACTTTCTTAACAGTTCTCCAGGGTTATCGCGATAGACTCTGAATTTAACAGCAGCCCTGGGTCTCCGTCCTTTAGGAGCACAATTGCATTCCGCCTGGTTTTTTCTTTGCCACTTTTTACAGAGACAAAATGTGTGACTTTTCTTGATGAGCAAACAGCCAAAGGTGTTCGGGAAGGTCTATCATTTTTCTGGTGGCAAGACACCCTAAACTAAATTCATTAGCGGCTCTTCTGTTTGGAATTTCAAAATATTCTCTGACCTATATAAATTCCTTGTTCTGTCCTCTACTAATAAAAGAAGATTAACTGGCATGCACTGTGGCTACAGAGCAAAGCAGTAACATAGTCTAACAAAAAGGGGCTTGGAGACTGTCATTCCACTTTTGAAAACCTCAACTCTGGCCCCTGCTTCCTCTCTTCCTAAGGATTTTTCTTCATGTCTATAGTTTTATGAATAGTAGATCGTAGCTACCGCTTTTGAGACACAAGTCAAGACTTGTCCTTAGTTCTACATGGATTTGTTATTTATTCATGTTTCTATATTTCCCTACCTTTTAGAAAAATATGAAAGGAACACAAGTTTGGCTATGTTTTGTGAGCAACTAACTAATGAGTCATGTGGGCAAATGCTGAGCAGGTGACCACCAACTCAAATAAATCAGTTCCCTCTCTACTTCTCAGTTTTCTTTCCCTAAATAAACATGACACAGTATGCCCATTGGTTCATTCATTTGACAAATATTTATTGAGCTCTTAGTCTGTGCCTTGCACCGGGTGCAGGGTGCTGGAGCTACGGTGGTAAACAAAATACATACGGTTCCTGCCCACATGGAATTTAGTTATCAGTGGACATTAAAGCCTTGCAGGGACAAAAACACTGTTTTGGTCAGAAGCAATATACATATCTGTTTATGGAAACATTCTTTTCCCCCTCTGTCTCTAAAACCCATGCTCTTATGTGTCTACACCATGTATTGGCGCTTACTCGATGACACGTTAACAGCAGCCAACTGTAGCCTCATCAAGAACAAATGCATGGCTTAGAGTTTTCATATTCCCAATGCTCAGGATGATGGGGTAGGTGGCTCTGAGCCCTGAACATGGCCTTAGGCCCAAGAGTCCCTAGCCTTCTTCCTTTCCTAAATGGCCTTTCAGCTGGGACAGGCCATTGTAGATGTTGAATGTATGATCACAATGATAATAAAACTGTTATTTTCCTACCAGAATTAATGATGGGTACATCTGTGCCAAGATACCTTTGTGAATATTAATGATTTGAACAATCCAGGCCTGAGTTTGTGGACATTCAGGGACACTGCATTTCATGTTCATTAAACTAGTTTAGACTAGTGATTTCCTGCCTAGTTTATGACCATGATTAGCCCCTGAAATCTGAATTAGGCCATTTTGGTTGATTTCATTTGGTGCAGAGTTAAATTTAGCTCACTGATTGTAAAAGAAACCATCCTGTCTTCACTCTCAGTTTCTGGCCCTTCCCCTGGCTCTGAGCTCACACGAATACTCCACTACCTTGAATAACTGCAAGTTTACTATTTAAGAAGTATGGGGATTGTCATGAATAAGCCACAGCCATCCACAGTGCAGACTGAGGTCTACTAATTAGCATCAGGTCCAGGCAAAGGGTCCCTGTTGGGACGGCCCGAGTGCTGACTGGGGATCAGAGTTTAGTCATCTCTGGTGAGCCAAGCCCCCATGCACTGTAAGGGAGTGTGTTAAGTGTCATTAAAGGAGCGTTCAGCTCTTACCAGCAGTTTTGTTCCTTTCACCACTACCCACACCCCCAACGCTCCTCCACTCCACAGGGCAGAACAGAGGATTGGATAAGGACAAGCAAAACCTCAGGCTGGCCATTCCAGGAGTGGCAAGGGAGAGAGAGAGAGAGGGAGGAAGGGAGGGAGGGAGAGAGACTGAGAAGAGAAAGAGAGGGTGGGGTGTTGAGCACCTGCATAACTCATCCCACTTCTATCCAACCTTTCCATTGCTTTCTGAGGACTAGGGGGATCCCCCTTTCAACATTATTCCTTTAAATTAAACTTTGAGGACAAAAGGTATTTAACACCTTAAGAAGTAGGATGACTGAAATTTAGAGTCTCAATTCTGAACTTTTGAATCTTGAAAGCCACTCATTTGATTCCTTGTATATTTACTAAACAAGTGTTCATTGAGTAGCTACCATGTGCAAAGCACTGGGGATACAAAGGTGAACACTTTCAGTCTCCATCTTGGAGGAGCTTGTAATCCTGAGTAAAGGTAAGAGATGATTGTACTCTTGTGTTGGAAGAGCCATGCCACATGGCCCATGATGTGTTATGGGAACACAAAGGAGACCACCCAATCCAGATTGGGGAGGAGGTAAATCAGAGGCTATGACATTGCAGCTAAGACCTGAGAGACATAGAAGTCAACAATGAGGATAGGAGACAGATATCCAGTTTGCCTTTCCATCACTGTGATTTGTAACTTTGGGGGTATCAGAAAAATGATAGGTCTTTCCTTAAAGGTCAGCTGAATGTACTACCTAAGTATGACCGACCTCTCACCAAAGGCTGGCTCAGAGTGGTTATCAAAGCTCAGAGGAAACCAGGGTTATTTTCAGTTAGGAGTGAATCGCCACATATAACACAATGCCCATGACTTTGGGACCAAAATTCAAGAAACATTAGGATATTTCCTGGTTTCCTTTTCTTTCTTTCTTTTTTTTTTTTTTTTTTAAAGATTTTATTTATTTATTTGAGAGAGAGAGAATGAGAGACAGAGAGCATGAGAGGGAGGAGGGTCAGAGGGAGAGGCAGACTCCCCGCCGAGCAGGGAGCCCGATGCGGGACTCGATGCGGGACTCGATCCCGGGACTCCAGGATCATGACCTGAGCCGAAGGCAGTCGCTTAACCGACTGAGCCACCCAGGCGCCCCTGGTTTCCTTTTCTTGATTTAGCAAGTTAGAGGCTAGAGGAGAAATAAAGGAAGAGTTCCTAGCTCTAAGTAACTAGAGTTACTAGTGCTAAGGATCTCATGTATTGTTGTTGCTAGTTTTAAAAACAGATCTCATGTATTGTTGTTGCTAGTTTTAAAAACAGCACAGTTGTCTATGTAATATAATTACTTATAATCTCCCCTGCTTAAAACAAATTGGAGTAAAGTCTTCTAGGAAGAGGCAAGAGGGTCATGGCAGAGACACTATGAATTTTTTGTGAGGGGTTGGGGGTTGAGGGAGCATTGGAAATGGCATATGTGGCACTGATTTTTGGTCCTTGATGAGAGTGAGGGAGGGGATGGCTCATAGTCTGGTGAAAGAGGATGGACAAGTCATTACAAGTCAATGGAAAGAGCAAGGTGCTCTTGGCAACATGCAGGAACAGAGTGGAGAACCAACGTGGGTATTCCACACGTGGAGAAGAACATGGAAAGTGTGCTGAGCAGGACTAGTGTCTCTAAAGTGCCCCTAACATCCCATGCTTTCAAGTACAGTCACATGACACTGTTTTATATCCTAGCTTTGATTGTAGCATTTTTTTAGCTTTTATGAAAATAACACTGTGAAGGAAGGAAACGAATTTAGGGACTTTGACAGGATTGTTCTTTTTAAATTGCTTTCTCATTTTTGTTGCTATTAGCATCTACAATGCAGGAAAACCCAATTAAAATAGTATTATCTTTAAAAAATTTATACAAAATGTTCAACCATACATAAAAGTGGAGAACAAAATACAATAAACCCCTGAATTGTCTCGTCTTAACCTCCCCATCGCACACAACACAATTTTTGTTTGGCTTTGCTCAAATAGTTTAAAGCAAATTCTAGGCATCATTTCATTTCATCCCTAAATGTTACAGTAGGTATCTCTATCAAAGAATAACTTTTTAAAAAACATAACCACAATGCCATTTTCATGTGATACAATACCCAGAACAAACCAAATTTTCCTAAATAGTTCCAATAATAATTTTATAGTTGTTTCATTCAAATCAGGATCCAAATAAGATCTACACATCATATTTAATTGAAAGTCTCTTTTGCTCTGTAAATTCTTCTCCCTGCCCTGTTTTTATGCCATTTACTTGAGGAAGGGGAGAAATGAGTCATTGTCCTGTACGATATCCTACATTCTGGATTTGGCTGATTGTTTCCTCCTAGTATCATTCAACTTGTTCTTGTATTTACTGTAAACTGGGTTAGATTCTTGTTAAAATTTTTTTTTGGCTAGAAAACTTCACAGATGCCTTGTATTTTCTGATGTATTACATCATGAGGTGCACCGTGTCTGACTGCCCTACTTTTAGAGATGTAAAAACTGATCAGTGGGTTCGGGTGTTATCAGCATGGTCCATCCAAAGGTTCCCTGTCAACCTTTCACCTAATAGTTATTGATGGTGGCTGCCTGGATTCTTTATTTCATTAGGTGTTCCAGTGTGGTGGTTTTTCTAACTCTATCATTCCTTCTGTCTTTATTAGCTGGAATTCTTCTATAAAGAACCCCTTATTATCTCTTTGGTTGCTCTGAAATACAGTTCATACCAGAAAGGCAGGAGGAGTGCTTGGTTGTCTTCCTTTACCCACTCTTAATTCAATTTAATCCATTGTAGGCATTGTTTTCCAATGCTCAAATTGTCTCCTCCTTGGCCAGTGAAGTCTCCTCAAGTCAGCTTCTGTGTCATCTTGACTTGACCCTAGCAGGACTCGATACCTCCCTTGCTTTTGAGAACAAGTGTCTACAGATTATTTATTTATTTATTTATTATTTTAGATTTTATTTATTTGAGAGAGAGTGAGAGAAGAGTGTGTGCGCATGTGAGCGGGGGAGGGGCAGAGGGAGAGGGAGAAGCAAACTCCCTTCTGAGCAGGGAGCCCGATGTGGGACTCGATCTCATGACCCTGGGATCATGACCCGAGCTGAAGGCAGATGCCTAACTGACTGAGCCACCCAGGCGCCCCTCTACAGCTTCTTTCTGATGAATTCACTAGACTTAGGAAAATCCTTATACCCCTATCCCCACTACCTTTTTTTTGCCCATCCATGACAAGTAATGGTTTATACTGGTTGTATCAGTCAGGAAGGCTTTCAGCTATAAGGAAGCATAATGAACAAATAGAATTTTCAATTTTTTCACAGAACACAAAGTCCGGAGCAGGCAGCTGTTAGCATTTGTTCAGCAGCTCATGGGGTCCAGAGCCAGCATAGCTGTGATTCTCTTGGCCTCTCCTTCCTGGTTGCAAAATGGCAGCTCCTATTCCAGGCATCATGCCCAATTGGGGCAGGAAGAAAGGGGACGGCCAGAGCCAGCTGCAGCTGTCCCTTTCTATCAGAAAAGCAAAAGCGTTCCCCAAACCACCACTCCACCCCCATCCCACTCAGCTGAATTCTACCCAGATCTTATTGGCCAGACTGGATTAGATGGACACCCCTACTTGCGAGGAAGGCCAGGAAAGTGATCGCTTAGTTTTGCTGGGTTCTATAGTCCAAGCAAGCAAGGGAGTGGGGCTGGGAGCGAACATAGGGCTACTAGTTCTGGGAGAGTAGTCTCGAGTCCTGAATCAATATTCCCTATCCTGGTTTTTTATTTTAATTTTTTTTTAATTTAAAAGATTTTGAGAGAGGGCATGCGTGCATGCAAGTGGGGGGAGGGGCAGAAGGAGAGAATCTTCAAGTGTACTCCCAGGATCCATGAGATCTTGACCTGAGCTGAGATCAAGAATCTGATGCTAAACTGACTGAGCCACTCAGGTGCCCCTTTTTTTTTTCTTTTTTACATAATGTCTAATATTCCTTGATTTTGAAGCAGGGTGGGACAGTTCAAAGAATTGTGAGCTGGAAATGAGTAAAGCTTTATTTGTAAGGCTGCTCTAAGGAAATGATATCAGCTGTTTTGACATCCGTGCCCTGATGGCTCGGCTCAGCTCCGTTCAGTTATCAGATGCCAACTCCCACTGTGTGGCCAAGTGTCCCATCTCCTGTCTGCACGGGGACAGAGCAGTCTCACTTTCATCATGACAGACACCACCGTTGAGCTGTAGTGATCCATATGACGCCAGAATACCTTGTGGCTACAGGTTCACAGAAGCCATTCAATCTTCGCACTGTTCTGGAGAAGAGAAGGGCTAACATGCAGCCAGCACTCGCTGACACCGACACACGAGCTTATTCTGCACGGACTCCCTGGAGCCTCACAGTCCTGTGTAGCCTTGGCCGTCCTGGCTCCTCTCTGAGGAGCCCACCCCACCTGTCCATGACCTCCTAACAATTCAGCAACTGAAAGCCAACCCCTGGCCTAACAGGGGTCCTAAGACACTACTCCCACCAGCACTAGGGCCATCCATTCCGTGTCCACACATTTAGAGGTAATTTAAAAATATTTTTACTATCTTCCAGAAGAAAAACATTGTTACTATTCCTACTGGTCATTTTTCTGGACTGTCCATGGCTGAAGGCAAATGACAACTAATTCAAGGAATGGAAGTGGATAATTCCATCACTGACAATCTTGATTTCCTCGAGGCTAATGAGTCTCATATTAGAAAACCTGAGTTGTTCTGATACTAGTTTTATTTTTTCTTTAATATTCATGATGCAAGCAAAAGAAGCCAGACACAAAAGAACACACTCTATATGATTCCATTTATAGGAAGTTGAAGAAGAGGCAAGACTATAAGAAGTCAAAAGTGGTTACCCTTGGGGGGAAGCACGGATAGGGAACGGGCACAAGAAGGTCTCTGGGGTGCTGGTTTTGTCCTTTTTCATGATCTAGGTATAGAAATTGCTGGCCACTAACCCAGTGTCTATCTTCTTCTTTCTCCTGTCAGAATCTGATCTCCTTGTGGGGGTGGAGGTGGCAGGTGAAGAGCTGAACACCACATTTCCCAGCCTCCTTTGGAACTAGGGCTGGCCATATGACATACTTAGGGCCAATGGGATGCATGTGAAAATCCATGGGACTTCCAGGGAATCTCCTTCAGGCAGATAGGCTCAGAAATCCCCCTGAGTGTACTGAAGGGTATACTGCCATCAGCCTCAGACATCCTAACTGTCCATTCATGCACTCTTATGTAAAATTCCCCCATGTCACTAGTTCTGTGGTTTGGTTCACTTATTCAACAAATGCTGATTGAGCACTTGGGCTCATTAAGTTGGGCATGTGCTGATCAGGTGTTACAGATTCAGATGTCCCAGGGCCAGGCCTGTAATTAGAGATGTAGGCCTGCGCTGAAGCACCAGAACAGATGAAGGAGGACCTAGGCCCTGGCTAATAAGGAGGATGGGGAAAGCCATTGCTTAGCTCTAACAGTTGGTTTGACATGTGAAAAATTCAAATCTCAAGTTGTAATATCTTCCCATTTTTCAAGAGGGCCAGAAATCTTGATTTTATTTTTAAAATTAACTCTGCCATGAGGCTGGACTTCTAGCTATGGTAGAGTAAAATTGGACTAAGTTGGTATATTAGTTTTCTATTGCTATGTAACAGATTATCACAAACTTAACAGCCCAATCAACATATATTTGCTAACTCACAGTTCTTGTAGATCAGAAGTACAGGCAGACTCAACAGGGCTTTCTGCTCAGTGTCTTACAAGGCTCAAATCAAGGTGTTAGCTGGACCCAGGCTCTTAACTAGAGGCTTTGGAAAAGAATCCACTTCCAAGCTCATTGAGGCTGAAGTCATCACATTATGCCACATGAACATATATAAGAAGATCAAATGCAGCAGCATGTAACATTGACCTAAGTGGAATTTATCTTGGGGATGCAAGGTTGATTTAGCATCTGAAAATTATTTAATGCAATGTGTCATATTAATGTAATAGACAAAATCTACACAGTCAATGCATGCAGAGAAAGCATTGACAAAATCCAACACTCATTCATGATGAAACTCTAAACAAACTCTGAATATAAGGGAATTTCAAACAGATAAAAAGCACCTAAGAAAAATCTATAGCAAATATCATACTTAATAATGGAAAACTAAATGAGTTTTTGAGAACAAAGCAAGAATATCTACTTTCACCACTTTTTTAAAAAAGATTTTATTTTTATGTACTCTCTATACCCAATGTGGGGCTCAAACTTACAAACCTGAGATCAAGAGTCGCATGCTCTACTGATGGAGCCAGGCAACCTGAAGAACTAACCACTTCTATTCAATATCATATGGTAAGTTATAGGCTGTCAAGAAGATAAGAAAAAGAAATTAAAGGCATTCAGACTGGAAAAGAAGAAATAAAACTGTCTTTATTTTTAGATGATATGATCCTGCTTCTGGAAAATACTAGTGAATCTGAAAACACCAACTAGAACTAACAAGTGAGAATGTTGGAGGATATAAAAATCAACATTTCTATACTCTGATAATGAACAACCTAGAAATAAAGAAAATAATGCAATTCATAATAGCACTAAAAAGTGCTATTTTGTTACCCTTAGAAATACACATCTTTTGTTACCTAAATTACCCTTAGAAATAAAGGTAAAAAAAGATGTGTAACACCTAAAAACTACAAAACATTGCTGACAGAAATTTTAAAAGATCTAAATAAATGGGGAGATATACCATGTTCATGAACTGTTGAGACCCATTATTGTTAAGATGGCAATTCTCCCTAAATTGATCTGTACATACAACACAACTCCAATAAAAATCCCATTCCAAAAAAACTGTTTTGGTAGAAATTGACAAGCTGCTCCTAAAGTTTACATGGCATTGCAACATACCTAGAATAGCAAAACAATTTTGAAAAAGAGCAACATATTTGGAGGACTTATTCTGCCCATTTTAAAAACTTAATGTAGTCAAAGACCATGTCACAGTGGTGTAAGGATAGACATATAGATCAGTAGAAATGAATAGGAAGTCCAGAAAATCCTTACATTATGGTAAATAGATTTTCAATGAAGGTGACAAGGCAATTTAATTGGGAAATGATACTCTTTGACAAATGGTTCAGGGGCAATTGACTATCCACATGCAATAAATGAATTAATTGATAAAATATGTAGACACTTTACATCATGTAGAACAATTAATTCAAATTGGATTATAGACAAAATTGTCAAATTGAACTATAAACTTGAAAAAAAAACACAGGAGAGGGGCGCCTGGGTGGCTCAGTTGGTTAAGCGACTGCCTTCGGCTCAGGTCACGATCCTGGAGTGCCGGGATCGAGTCCCACATCAGGCTCCCTGTTCAGCGGGGAGTCTGCTTCTCTCTCTGACCCTCCTCCCTCTCATGCTCTCTGTCTTTCATTCTCTCTCTCTCAAATAAATAAATAAAATCTTTAAAAAAAAAAAAACCACAGGAGAAAAATCGTTTGATTTTGGCTTAGGCAAAAATTTCTTAGATATGACATCCAAAACATGATTCATAAAAACGAAAAATTTGATAAATTGGAATTCATCAAAATGCAAAACTTTGGCACATTTAAAGATATTAAAAATATGAGAAGACAAACCACAGTCTGGGAGAAAATATTTGCAACTCATATATCTAATTAACGGCTTGTATCTGAAATATGTAAAAAATTCTTAAAACTCATTAAGACAAACAACCCAATTAAAAATGGGCAAAAGATTCGAATAGATCTTTCACCAAAGAAGATATATGAATGACTAGAAAGCACATGAAAACATGATCAACATTGTTGGTCATCAGAGAAATGCAAATTAAAATCATAGTGAGATACCTCTACACTTTTATTAGAATAGTGATAACCTAAAGGTCAAATAATGTCAAGTGTTGCCAAGGATGTGGAGAAACTAGAGCCCTCATATATTGATGATGGGAATATAAAATAGTAAGTCACTTTAGAAAATAATTTGTCACTTCCTTAAAATGTTAAAGAGTTATGACATGACCCAATAATTCGACCCAGAAATATACCCAAGAAAAATGAAAACATGTCCCCCTTTAGAGTTTATATAATTATGTATGGCAGCATTATCCACAATAGCAAAAATGTGGAAATAAAGTGTAGTTTATCTATATAATGGAATATTATTCAGCAATATAAAGGAATGAACTGATACAACTACATGAACTACAAAATGGATAAATCTTATGCTAAGTGAAAAAAGCCTGACACTACAGACTACACATTGTATAATTCTATTTATATAACATTTCTAGAAAGGCAAACCTACAGAGATAGAAAACAAATTACTGGTCGCTTAGGACTTGAAATTGGAGTGTGAATGACTGCATATACACATGAGAAGACTTTTTGGGAGAGATAGAAATATTTTAAAACTGGATTAAGGTGATGGCTGCACAACTTTGTAAATTTACTAAAAATCACTGAATTACCATGTATTCTGGGTGAACTTTACAATATGCAAATCAGACCTCAATAAAGTGATTAAACATAAAAATTAAATCTCCCAAGTTTAAAATGCTCACAACTAGTTCAAATTCTTAAAAGATCTTTGTGAAAAAAAAATACCCCAAGTCTGCAGTGATAGCCGAAGTCTGTAGTATAAGTCCTTGGGCCGCCCTCTTGAAACGTCAGGGCCAAGTGGCATGAATAGAATTTTAAATGAAATAAAATCCTTGTTTTCTATGAGTTGAAGAGCCAAAGGCAGAAAATGGGAAAGTAAACAATTACAACAGCCAATGATAAATGCTCTAAGCGGGTTGCGCAGGGAGGTATGGGTCCAGATAGTCTTTGGCTCTGACTGGGTGCGGGCTGGGGCACCACAGAAGAGGTTGGACACTGCAGTTAGGTTCTGAAGCATAAGCAGGAATTCAGGAGATTGCAAGTGTGGGAAGTGGGGGGAAGAGGGGCATTTCCAGGCAGAGGGAACAGAATCGGCAAAGTCTTGAAGATGTGAAAAAGCAGTTCCGTTTGAGAACAGGGAAGGCTGGAGATGTGGCACACATGGAGAATAGAAAAAGCAGGAAAGGAAGGTGGGGACCACATTATGAAGGGTTTGGCAGGCCATGTTAAAGCTTTTGGACATGGGATTAAGAAGGAGTTTACTTGCCAGAGAACATGGGCATGCTTCTTTAGGCCTAAATTAAACTTTGTAAATCTTGGCAACATCATATTGTACTCATTTAAACATACTCATTAATATACCACTTACTGTGTCCCAGGCACTGTTTTAATACTTCAAATAAACTCACTTAATCCCATCAACAGTGGTTCTCAAACTCTAACTTGCATGAGAATCACCACAGTTTTTGATTTAGTACATCTGGAGCGGAGCCTGAGAATTTGCATTTTGATTCAGTTCCCAGAAGAAGCTGATACTGCTGGTCGAGGGAGCACACTTTGAGAACGATTGCTTTACAGCAAGTTTACCAGTGGCTTTATACCAACTTTATAAGAAAGGTATCATTATCACTGCCATCCCAGTGTTACAGAGGAGAAAACAGTTAAGCAACCTGCCCAAAGCCATATAGCATTAAGTGATGGGGCTGGGATTCAATGCCAGGCAATGACAGGCATATCTCCTAGGTCACAGGTTACAAACAGAGTTAAGGGCTGGCATTTTCAATCTTTGTTTGCAACTATCAAAAATATATTACACACACACACACACACACACACAGGTTGGCCTTAACTGACATCTGAGATACAAAAGTGAAACGTGCTAACTGATGCCAAGGGGGTGGTAAGGGAAAGTCTTTCAGGAACTCTGTGGGCCATTCCAATGAAGTATTATTTTGGTCCTACTGGGATGAAGCCAGGATTTAGAAATGCACGAGTATCAATGTATAAAATGACTAATTAAATATGTAAATGAAAATCTTTACCATGTCACACCTTGAAACTGAACTGTAGATGAGTACTCAATATCTATTGCTTTAAATATATTTTAAATTTTTTACAAATTATGAAAACTAACAATATCTGGAGAAGACAATATGATGCTTTTTATGTGTATGTGTGTGTGGGGGGAGGGTGTCCCAAGATGAAAATTGCAATTCTTTCAAGAATCTGCTTGCTTTTCACATCTTGAACTAATTCGTAGCATCTCCCTGGTTGCCTTCCAATAAACAACTTCTTCTTTAAATTGGTGGCATTATGTTATGTTTGAGATCTGAATCACAGAGACTGTAATGCAAACCTGCATGCTCCATCTTGTCGTTTTGTAGAGTGCTGTATATCTAATTAAAGCTTATGGGTCCATAAAAAGACTTAACATTAAAAAAGCAGTCTGTGTTGGAGAAAGCCCCAGGGCAGTTTGGAGGAGGGGTTTCTTCATTAATAATAAACATATTTGCTTAAATTCAAAGTTAAGTAATAATATATTAATTTGCACTTGAATATTCTTAAATATTGCCTAAGCATAATCAGATCATGTTACCACATTTATGGTGTGGAACTGAAAATGGGTCATGTTCTTGCCAGCAGCACTCTAGCTTCCGAAGAAATACGGGGGATGAATAAATGATTTACCATGTGGCCAGTACCAACTGTATCCCTGATGTTATTTGAATCAATTTAATATTCTGTTCCTTTTCATTTATTGTTTTGCTATTCATATGTCCTTGTTACCCTTATAGATTTTAGTCAAAACCTGAGTCACATGGCAACAATATAAATACTCTTTTCCAAGGGCTTATCTATTATGGCCGTTGTTTTGTGGTTACTGTTACATCTCAGGGGCCATAAGCCTGGTGGCAGAGGCTATCAACCACTGGAATTCCCTTGGGAGACCATTAGAGTAGTATTTTTTTCCCCTTTACTGGGTTCCCTAAATAGTGATACCTCCCTGAGGGGAAAAGTGCATAGTCTTCCAACTTCCCAGTAATAAAGGACCGAATTCCACAAAGGAGCTACTGCTTAACATATGGCTAGAGTTAGAATGCCAGCATCAAAGTGAGATTTTTCTTTTATGGTCTTCCTAAATCAGAGTGATCCCAGAGCTGGGGCTTTGACTCATCCTTAAAGGGTAGAGGCCCAGCCTGAGGCCTAGAGCCTAAGGCTTTCTCCAGTCAATGATCCATCACTCCATGCTAGAGCATTAGGGTAACTGGGAGTCCCCCTATAATAGAAAACCTTATGTTATCACCCTGAGGGTTTGCGCCCCCCCCCACCCCGACAATCCACTCTTACTTTTCAATCATCTTCAGACATGTAAAATTGATGCTGTGGAGAAAGTCTGAAAAAACAAAAACAAAAACCTGACATTTGCAGGTCAACAAAGACATTTGCTAAAGCCATCTAGATTTCTCTTCTGCACCCAATCAATTTAATCAAATTTGGAGCATCTAAGCAGCTTTTATTTGTATATTTACTTTTTCTTGTGTCCTTCTTCACTAGGCATCTTTTATTGGAAGGGTGGAAAGAAAGGAGAAACAGAAAGGGAAAAGCAGGTTGGAGAAACCCGGCACCTGGCTTGTTGGCTCTCCCTTTTAGTAACCTCAGAGAGCTGATTAGGCATTGCAAGACAAGCTTTCAAAGGTGGGAGTCAGTGCCCTACCCCACCCCCCGCCTCCAGCACCCCTCTCTGGCTTTGGTTAAGCTCCGTTCCCGAGTCAGCTGGCCTGGTGACCAGGCCGCTGAACCATCTAGTTAACTACGGTTAAGGTCTGCTGTTTTGAATCCCGGACTTCATATGCTTTAATACTTTCCACGACCTTTTGCTTTTCCAGGCGGTTTCCAGTGGAGGCAGCTAACTGATGGGGCCGGCTAGTGTCTCCCGTAGACCTTTAAAGCCAACGCTGCATTCAGATGGTGGGCGTTTCTCCTTTTGTTTAAATAGCAACAAAATCAACAAAATTCCTTCAAATTGGGTTCCCAAGAAATAAAACTGTAGAGAAAAAGAACATATTCATATGCGTATATATATACATATGAATGTATATTTAATTTTTTCCCTCCCCTTGCTTAAACTTGGGCGGGAAATGCGGCGAACCTTTAAAAGGGTAAAGTGCGTGCTGCCCTCAGCCCCCCGCTTCAGGACGCAGTCGGCGCGCACGCTGTCCCTTCCCTCCGATTTCTCCCGACAGCTCGCGCTACTTTTCTCAGCCATTGTCCCATATCCCCGGTGCTTCCTCCTTCACCATCCCCTATCCTCCGGCGCCTCGCCTGCTTCCTACCGCCAGCCAATGCCCAGACTCGCTGAGGTGAGACGCCGCCAGGATGCCCTCCAGCAGCCCGCGCGCTGGAACCCGCAGGTGCTGTCGGCCCCGCCCTTCCCGTGGCCCCGCCCCGGCGTTGCGTCACAGTGACGCGCGTGCCGCGCAGGCGCAGCTCGGCCCCACCCCCTCCCCGCGGCCGGTCGCCCGCTCGGTATTATGGTTAGCGCTGGGTGCGGGGATTCGGCGGCCGGGAGGGAGTCGTCGGCGCCGCGGCCGCTGCGGACGGACGCTTGCCTGCCGGCTGAGGTAGGGACGAGCGCGGAGCGCGGCCGGGCGCGGCGGCCGTGGACCGCGGTGCGGACCGGCCTCCGCCGCTTGGTATCCTGCGCCGTTGCCGGGCTGGGAGTCCGGGCCGGGGCGCCCACCGCAGGCGGAAAGTAAGTTGCGCGCTCCGCGCTCCCCGCGCCGGCCGCAGCGCGGGCCCGGGAGGACGCGGAGCCGGGGCTGCGGCGGTCGGAGCCGGGGCTGCGGCGGTCGGAGCCGGCGCGGCGCCGGCACGGCCTGGCGGCGGGGCGGCGGCGGGCCCGGCGGGAGCCGGCACTGCGGCGGCCGGCCGCGGGCTACCGGAGGCCCTGCCCTTGCGGCCGCGGCCGGATTGCGGCACCTCGGGAGGTGCCCGCATCCCGCGCCCCGCCCCGAGCGGGCCGAGTGCGGCGCCGCGGGGCCCCGCGCCCGGGCCAGGCTCCCCGCGCCCAGGTTCCCTCATGCGGTGTGTGTTCTCGGAATGTTTCCTTTTTCAAACGAATCTGGAAATCTGGCCGCAGCAAGAGGGGTTCCTTGGTAAAACTGCAGCCTTACAATAGAATGGGGATATTGTTGTCTGTAGAGAAAGGGCATCGGGGTAGGGAAGGAGGAGCAGTGCCATTCCCGAGGGAGAGCTAGAATTTTTTTTTTTTTTTTCCTTTCCCCCCCAGATCGGGAAACCTCCGTTCTTTTCCGTAGTCATCGCCTGTTGATTTCTTTCTGGACCCTTTTGCAAAAACCTTCCTGCCTTTAACTTGGACTTGGGATCTAGGAAAGTGACAGTCTTATTCTGGGGGGCGTGGGGGGGGTAGTTTCCTGGAGCTGTGCTATTCCTAACAGTTGGATCAGATAGCTTCTTGGGAAGATCAGTTCAAGCTCAGTATTTGGGGAGAATTTAGCACTAGGATTCTTAAATCTATAGAAGTCTGAGGATATAGGACCTTTCAAACTGTCAGGTTACTTTTTTCTCTTTTTAAAAATTGAGTGCATTCTCAGTCTTAGATGCGGGTGGTAAAGCTGATTTAATGAGTTTCACATTTTATCAGGTTTTAAGGTGAAGCATGACTTACAAGTGATGGAACTGCAAATGTTTTGAGTATCCTGAATTTTCACCAATTTCTGTCAAACGTCAGATGCCTCAGTTTGGGTTCTTTTTACGGGGTTGGGACAGTGTGTCTCAAATCAGCCTAATGTATCAGAATGTAGATCCGTGTACTTTAAAGCCAGGGGCTGTCAGGGTTTATGTAATCAATTTATTAATTTATGATCTTGTTACATTGCTTCCCAAATTTATAAAATAATTCCCTTAAGGAAATCTGTCTTCAGCGTCTGCTTAAATATTTCTTTTGGAATTGGATTCCTGAGGAGGAATGTACTGTACAAGTGGTGATTTAAGCATACCAATTAGACAAGTTTCCTTTTAAAAAAATACGTATTGATTCTTTTATCCAACTATCTTATTGTCCCCCTTAGGAAAACATGACATTCCCATTTTACAGAACTAGAAATGAGAGAAATTACATGACATTCCCAAGGTCACACATTAAAGCAGTGTAGTAGCTGAAAAATTAAGTGTATGGTGCTAACTTCTTTTACCTCTTCAAGGTTTTCCAGGCAGGGAACTTTGAATGTCACCTTTCTATTTTTTTAAATCTGCACAATCAGTTTTTCTTGTTTTATTTTATGCACAGAAATGGCTCTCACCCTATTAATATTTTACTATTTAGAGTAAATTTTTCAGTATTGTTGCAGTAAGATCAGTTAGTTTAAAACATACAGGAACCCAGAAGTTATCCTAATTTTTATTTTTCTAGAACAGAAATATAAATTGGGACTTTATGTTCAAATTTAATCCCATAATCCTCAAATAAAGGCTTTTATATGTCCTTATTAAAATTGAAGGGCTTTCATGGTATTTTTACTGGTCACAGGAAATAATGTTCATCTAAACCTTACTATGGGTGTTTCTGTCATATAGAAAGTGAAACTAAGTGGGATAAAAGTTACTTATTTTTGGAGATGATTGAACAGCCATGGTTCTAAGCATTGGTATAAATGAGGCATGATGTCTTCCCTACAGCAGCTTGTCTGAGCCTAAGAGCTCACTCAGTACGCTGCCCAAGAAGAAAAGGGCACAAGTGAGCTTTCCACATGGCCAGAATTTTAGGAATTAAAAACATAGATGAGGAACTCTAAAGACCTATTTTAACTGCATGTGTGCTGTTTGCTTAACAGCCAGAAGATAGAATTTTTAGCCAAATGCTTTTATAATAAAATATAATTTAGGTACTTCTCAGTGTATGTGTGTGCAGGTAAATTCTTAGAGCAACGTCGGTGGAAAAGTTACTTGAGTAGATTCTAGCAGTTTTGAAGATAAACTTAACCTATGATCATTTATTCATGATGCCTTTGTGTGTCTATTTTCAGGGCCCTGGGTTCAAGGGTAGCAATAGAAAAATGAGTAAAAACCAGTGACTGCCTTTAGGAGCTTACAGGCTATTGGGGGCACTGAAGTAAACAGTAACAGTAGGATCCAGCGAATGCTGTGGTGAGGCATAGGCAAAACCCTGCAGAAACACAAAGATGGGGGCAGGGAACAAGCTGACTTGGGAATGCTTTACAGAGGAGGTGACATTGAATGGGTCTTAAAGTACAGGTAGAGTTCCCAGGCAGAGAAAAGGGGAAAGTGCTCAGAGGGTTCAGGGAGGATGAGAAGACAAGGTTAAGTGGTGGAGGAAGAACTGAGATCCAAGTGGATGGAAGGGAGATGAGGAGGTAAAGACAGTGCAGCTGTTTTTTTGTTTTTGTTTTTTTTTTTTTTAAGAATATGAAAAGGAAGGAAGAGGAATGGGGCAGGAGATTGGGCATGGAGAGGGAAGTGTTTTGGTATTTTGTTTTTGTTTGCAAAGAGCTGGTGTAAAGTCTCTCAGACTTACTAGCCTCACGAGAGCACTGGACATGTGTTTTCTGCTCTGGATTATCTGGAACTACATTATTCACACTGGATGGTTTCCTCATCTATTTTTCTGTAAGTCTGCTTTGGGTCGAGGCCTTATATCCTATGGGAAACCATTTCTTGCCTATGGTAGGGGAGGAGCCTGTCTAAAGAGGATTCCTGCTGTACCTTCCCTGAACGTTTATTTCTCTGCTGCTTCCAGAGCCTCCTGAGATTCTGCTTTGGCACCTCCAGCATTTGGCTTCTGCTCAGGTAGGCTCTTCCATAACAAATCAGGCCTGGCCTCTTTCTCCTTACTTGTTGTATTGTACCCTCCAAAGTGCTGCTATGTGGCTATTCAGCAGTTACTTCAAAGTCTGTCACAGACCACAGATCACAAGTCTGTGATGTTTTAAGTTTGCAGTGTCTTCAGGTTCAAAGCAGGATTGGGTCTGTCTGTCTGTCTACATACATATCCCCTCAACTACATATTGGCCTGGAAATGTAGGTTATGAAATCTGTGCTCCAGAAGTGTGGATTACAGGTCATTTAAATGGTCAGATCATAGCCCCACTGGGCCTCAGTTGCTCATTTGTTGATATGCAGTTATTTTTCTCAAACTTAAAAGTCTGTCAGCTCCTCGAAGGCAGAGACCACTTCTTTGATTTCAACATCCCCAGACCAGTGTAATGCCTCATGCGTAGTTAGGATACCCAAGTGGTGTCTGGATGAAGAAACTTCAAAAATCTGAACTTAATTTTGTTGATTTTATCAGCCTATTAATAGAAACTGTACCCATTTTAATACAGCTGGGCTAAATTTAAATTGTTTTTCAATCATAGAGTTTTGGAACTAGAAGCAAATCTTTCACTTGATCCTAGCATGTAGTAGATGCTCAGGAAATGTTTGTTCCTGTCCTGTGTATTTCTGGTCTGAGTGAATGGCACCACTTGCTACCACTGTCCATTAGAATCATTCTGGATTTCCCTCTTTGCTTTGCCCCCCCATGCATTGAGTTCTGAGATTCTACTTCCTAAACATGTTTCCTCCATTAATCCTCATCATCACTGCCCACATACTGGCTGCCTTCATTTTTAGGTCATTAAGTGATCATTTACCTGGAGACATTTTCAGTTGTCTCTTTATCTGTCCCCCAGCTCTAGTCTTGCCCTAACAGGTTGGTCTTCACTTTGCTACCAGAGTGGTTTGTGTAACTGTCATCTCTGATTGCCATTCCCCTGCTCAGGATTCTTCTTTGGCTTCTTTTTTTTTAAAGATTTTATTTATTTATTTATTTGAGAGAGAGAGCACATACACATGAGTTGGGGGTGGGGAGGGAGGCAAATGAAGAGGGAGAGGCAGACTCCCCACTGAGCAGGGAGCCCCACGCAATGCAGGGCTCGCGCTCCATCCCAGGACCTTGGGATCATGACCTGACCTGAAGGCAGACGCTTAATTGACTGAGCCACTCAGGTACCCCCTTCTTAGTGGCAGCTTTCATTTGTTCATTTAATAATATGTATCTATATATTTTGGGTAGATGCTTTACTCAGTCGGCCCTAGGTTACAGAGTGGAATAAAATGGACATGGGCCTTACACAGACTGAACTTATCATTTAGTTGAGTGGGGACACAGATTATTACTCATGTAACTATATAACTGCAGTTGTGATAATGGCTCTGCTGGGAAAGGAATGGCGCTGTGAGAGGGCATGGGAGCTGGTGTGCAGGGGTGTGGGGAGGGGAAGGACATATTCAGGAGGGTGACCTTTCAGCTGGGCCCTGAAGCCCTCTGGTAAGGGCTTGTCAGACCCAAGGAACTGCAGCTGATTTGCTTGGAATACAAGACCCTTGGGGTATCTGGCCCCT